TGCAGTGTAGTCCAGTCCAGTGCAGCGCAGCGCAGTGCAGTGCAGTGCAGTGCAGTGCAGTGCAGTGCAGTGCAGTGCAGTGCAGTGCAGTGCAGTGCAGTGCAGTGCAGTGCACAATCAAGTTTGCTTCCGAAACGCCTCAGAAGTTTTCCCTGCAGTGGCAGGGAGAAAACATCCGTCACTACCAACCTCAACCCACCCCATCCCACCCCACCCCACCCCACCTTATCCCATCCCACCCCACCCCACCCCACCCCCGTCTCTACCCCCAGCCAAGGCACACTGAGTGCCAGGTCGACTGTGAGCGAAGGATATGGCTCTCATGCTTATGGCTCGGAAGGGTCAGCAACAGCGGAGGGAGGCCGGGAGGAGAGGCAGGGGGAGAGGCTCAGGAATCATCATCTGGAGCTGTTTGAAAGTGACAGGCTGGTGGATGCAATGGGCGTGAAGAGGTGAGACAGGGTGACTGAACCGAGGTGAGGGTGACTGCACGGTCGCGTGACTGTAGCGAGGGGTGGGATAAGAGACATGGGGAAAGGCTCAGGAATTATCATCTGGAGCTGTTTGAAAGAGACAGGCTGGTGGATGCAATGGGCGTGAAGAGGTATGCTGTGCGGTGAAGAGGTACGCAGTGGGGTGAAGATGTAATGTGGGGCGGCTGAAGTGAAACCAGGCATGGTGATTGCATGGCTTCACTCGCTGAAATAAAATGGAGGTTGACATCACTGAAACACACACACACACACACACGTGTTTTGTCATCTTGACTTGGTCTCAAATGCACTGAAGCTCGAGTGCATCTCAGTCTTGCACTTGGTGCGAATGCGTTAAAACTACGTTATCGTGCGACCTTGAGTGGATAAAGGTTGAACATTGGTTGAAAATAGTTGGCAAAGTGGGTGAAAGTAGCTTGAAGATAGGGTGAAAACTGGGTGACCCACCCTGTCTTAGTATCGTGCTGTCTTTTCCGATTCTGGGGCGTCAACCCCATCTCATGCCGTCTCGTGTCAACTTATTTCATGCCTGCCATGCCATATCGCCTTATTCCACGCCGTGCCATATCACCTAATTCCACGTCATCCCATCCCATATCACCTTGGAAAATGGGTACAGCCTATTCCCCTGGAGTCCCATGGCCTGAGCCTGACAGAGTCAAGCTTGCACCGTCTCTGATCGCACCATCCCATTGCACCACCACACCACACCACACCACACCACACCACACCACACCACACCACACCACACCACACCACACCACACCACACCACACCACACCACACCACACCACACCACATCACACCACAGGATGGGCACAGCATATTCCCCCAAGAGCCCCCAAGACCCCGAGTCCGAATCGCTGCAAGTGCATCGTGACAGTGGCAATGTGGGTGACCCTGTTTACACTCATTTGACGTTTCACTCTATCTTTCGGTTTTCTTTGAATTGTATTCGTTGATTCGTTTGGTGTTTCAATCAATGTTCCAATCCGTGTTCCATTTGAAGGCTTGTTCGAGCTCTTCATGTGCAGTCTCATTGATGCTTCACACAATGTTTCGTTTCAGTCAATGCAATTCAAATGCATTTATCCATCTACCCCCCCCCCCCCCGCTCGCGTATCCCGCCCCCCCTCTCTCCCTCTATCCCCTTTCCTGACCACCCGCCTCTTTCCCTCTCTCCGATTCCACTGGCCCTTTCACAGGGCAAGCTGGGCACGCTGACAGATCTGTGTATGCCTTCCGTTTGTGCTGCCCCAGCACGCCCTCCCCCCCCTGAGTGTGGACCACGTTTCTTTTCTGCACCCACCTCTCTTTTCCTCCTGCAGGAGCCGTCACAGGGCAAGCTGGGCACGCTCACAGAGCTGTCCTTCCATCCCGTGTGTGCTGCTTCAGCACGCCCTCTCCCCCCTGAGTGTAGACCGCTGTTTTTTTCCTCCTCCAACCCTCTTCTCCTGCAGGAGCCGTCACAGGGCAAGCTGGGCACGCTCACAGGAGTGTACATCCCTCCCGTGTGTGTGGCTTCATCACGCCCTCTCCCCCCTGAGTGTAACAACACGTTCTTGTCCCCGTCCAAGTTCCAACCCCTCTTCTCCCCCTCCAGGCCCCGTCACAGGGCAAGCTGGGCACGCTCACAGGGGTGTACATCCCTCCCGTGTGTGTGGCTTCAATTCAATATACATTCTTCCCCCTGAGTGTACACCACGTTTCGTTTGTGCGTCCAACCCCTCTTCCCCCCTCCAGGAGCCATCACAGGGCAAGCTGGGCACGCTCACAGGGGTGTACATCCCGTGTGTGCAGAACATTCTGGGAATCATATTCTACATCCGCCTCTCCTGGTGGGTGCTTGCTTCCCCTGTTGGGGGCTTGCCCTGTTGTGAGGGGTCCCACCGGTCAGTTGTGGGGGTCCCCCCACCCACCTAGGCATGAGCAAAGGGCGAACACGAACATGTTCGTGTTCGCCCCTTCTCGAACACGCCCTTTTGCCGAACCGAACAGTGTTCGGTTCGGCGAATAGTTTAGGCAAAAACAGGTGTTCGCTGTTCGCCTGTGGAGGCGTGTTCGGGCGAACCTCGAACACGTTCGGGCGAACGATTTAAGCTGAAAAACAAAACCTGTTCGGTTCGCCTCGAACACGTTCGAGGCGAACCGAACAGGTGTTCGCCACCTTGCTCAAGCCTACACCCACCGGTGCTGCTCACAGGGGTGTACATCCCGTGTGTACAGAACACTCTGGGAATCATATTCTACATCCGCCTCTCCTGGTGGGTACCTTACTGGCTGTCGTGGTGGGTGGGTGGGGGTCCCACCTGTCTGGCTGGGTCCCACCTGTCTGGCTGGGTCCCACCTGTCTGGCTGGGTCCCACCGGTGCTGCTCACATCACAGGGGTGTACATCCCGTGTGTGCAGATCATTCTGGGAATCATCTTCTACATCCGCCTCTCCTTGTGGGTTTCTTACTGGTGTCGTGGTGGGGTGGCTGGGTCCCACCTGTCTGGCTGGGTCCCACCTGTCTGGCTGGGTCCCACGTGTGCTGCTCGCTCACATCACAGGGGTGTACATCCCGTGTGTGCAGAACATTCTGAAAATCATCTGATGCCTCTCCTGGTGGGTGCTTGCTTGCCTCTCTCTAGTCTGTGCCTGCTGCCTCTCCTAGTGGCTCCTACTTCCCCTGCCGGGTCCCACCGGTGCTGCTCGCATCACAGGGCCGTATCTCGTGTTCTGGGAATTATCCCGCCTCTCCTGGTAAGTGCTTGCTTGCCTGTCGCGGGGAGTCCCACCTGTCGTGTCGGTCGCACCCACCTGTTCCACTGACAGAGTTGTTCGAAACATCCTGTTCATGGTTGCTGTCTCTTCGGCTGCTGCCATGCCACCGATCCTGAGCTCTGGACCCTCAAAACATGATTGCTCGTGCTTCATTCTTTATCCCTGTGCCCTGTGCCCTGTGCCCTGTGCCCTGTGCCCTGTGCCCTGTGCCCTGTGCCCTGTGCCCTGTGCCCTGTGCCCTGTGCCCTGTGCCCTGTGCCCTGTGCCCTGTGCCCTGTGCCCTGTGCCCTGTGCCCTGTGCCCTGTGCCCTGTGCCCTGTGCCTGTGCCCTGTGCCCTGTGCCCTGTGCCCTGTGCCCTGTGCCCTGTGCCCTGTGCCCTGTGCCCTGTGCCCTGTGCCCTGTGCCCTGTGCCCTGTGCCCTGTGCCCTGTGCCCTGTGCCCTGTGCCCTGTGCCCTGTGCCCTGTGCCCTGTGCCTGTGCCCTGTGCCCTGTGCCCTGTGCCCTGTGCCCTGTGCCCTGTGCCCTGTGCCCTGTGCCCTGTGCCCTGTGCCCTGTGCCCTGTGCCCTGTGCCCTGTGCCCTGTGCCCTGTGCCCTGTGCCCTGTGCCCCGTGCCCTGTGCCCTGTGCCCTGTGCCCTGTGCCCTGTGCCCTGTGCCCTGTGCCCTGTGCCCTGTGCCCTGTGCCCTGTGCCCTGTGCCCTGTGCCCTGTGCCCTGTGCCCTGTGCCCTGTGCCCTGTGCCCTGTGCTCTGTGCCCTGTGCCCTGTGCATGGCAGGATAGTGGGCATAGCAGGGGTGAGCGGGAGCCTGATGGTCGTGGCAGTCACATGTGCCAGCACGTTCATCACAGCACTCTCCCTCTCTGCTGTCGTCACCAACGGCGCTATGAAGGTGAGATGATGCTGCTGCTGCTGCTGCTGGTGTGGTATGGTGGTGCACGTTCATCACTGCTGCTGCAATCACATCATCACATTCATCACATGTGCCAGCACATTCATCACATGTGCCAGCACATTCATCACAGCACTCTCCCTCTCTGCAGTTGTCACCAACGGTGCTATGAAGGTGAAACACCCATGCCCCACGCCCGTTGCCCCATGCTCCATTCTATGTGTTTCCATGTATCATGCACACCATGCCCCATGCCCCATGCCCCGTTCCCTTTGCCCCGTGCCCCATGCCCAATGCCCCGTGCCTCGTGCCCGGTGTGCCCCATGCCCGATGCCCCATGCCCCATGACCCATATCTCAACCCCCTCAGGGCGGAGGGCCCTACTACCTCATCGGCCGGGCACTGGGGCCCGAGGTGGGGGTCAGCATCGGCCTCTGCTTCTTCTTTGGGAATGCCATTGGTGGATCGCTGTGAGTCAACCAAAGTCAACGAAGTGAATCGGGTTAATAATGCCATGGAAGAGGGCCAATAGGGTCAGCATCGGCCTCTGCTTCTTCTTTGGCAATGCCATTGGTGGATCGCTGTGAGTCAACCAAATTCAATGAAGTCAACGGGGTCAGTGGGGTCAATGCTATGGAAAGGGTCCTTGTGGTCAGCATCGGCCTCTGCTTCGTCTTCAGTAATGCCATTGGTGGATCGCTCTGAGTCAACCAGAGTCAATGGGGTCAACAGGGTCAATTGGGTCAATCGGAGTGTAGAGAGTCAATGGGTCAGCATCGGCCTCTGCTGCTTCTTCTGCAATGCCATTGGTGGATCGCTGTGAGTCATCCGAAGTCAATGAAGTCAACAGGGTCGATCGGAGCAGTCTGTGGGCGGTGGAAACTCTTTTCCAGCCATGCCCCAAATTGCTCCCTTTGCTCGTGCGTTCTCTTCCTCCTTTGGCACGCTTCCTCCTTCCTCTCTCCCTTCTTTCACTTGCTCGCTCTCTCCCCTCTTCTCTTCTTTCTCTCCTTTCTTTCACCCCCTTCCTCTCTCTCCTCTCCTCTTCTTCCTCTCCCGTTTTCCCTCCATACAGCTACGTTCTGGGGGCGGTGGAAACGCTTCTCGACGCCATGCCTCATATGGCTCTCTCTTCCCTCTCCCTCCTTTCACCCCCTCCCTCTCTCCCCTCTCCTATTCTCCCTCCCCCCCCTCTTCCTCCATACAGCTACATACTGGGAGCGGTGGAAACGCTTCACAACGCCATGCCTCATATGGCTCTCCTCCACACATTTCTCCTTTCCTCTTCTCCCCTCTCCCCTCCCCGCTTCTCCCCTTCTCCCTCTCCCCATTATCCCCCTCGCAGCTACATTCTGGGGGCGGTGGAAACTCTCCTCGACGCCATGCCTCATATGGCTCTCTTCCCTCGTGCGTTCCCTCCCTCCTTTCACTCCCTCCTTCCCCGTTTCTCTGCCGTTGCCTCTAAATCCTGTGTGTATGTATAATGTATGCTTATGTGCAAATGTATGGGCTTCTTTTTGTCCTTATCATGTCATGCGCCATGTCATGTATTCTCCCAAACTTCTCCCTCTTTCTCCCGTGCAATTTTTTTCCTCTTCTCTCCAGCGCAAGCCATGACAGTGACGGTGCAGGCAGCAGTGAACACGAGTGAAGCTGCTATCAACAGCGGGTTCATCAAGCCTCAAGCCTCCTCCCTTTCTTACCCCCTCCCCTCCAGCGCAAGCCATGACAGTGACGGTGCAGGCAGCAGTGAATGCAACTGAAGCTGCAATCAACGGCACCATGGCTGCTGCGTCCACAGCAGCAGAAACGGTGCTTTCAGTGTCCAGACACGACATGCAGGTGGGGGTGTGTGAGAGCAGCAGGTGGGCAGCAGGTGAGCAGCAGGTGAGCAGCAGGTGGGCAGCAGGTGAGCAGCAGGTGGGCAGCAGGTGAGCAGCAGGTGGGCAGCAGGTGAGCAGCAGGTGAGCAGCAGGTGGGCAGCAGGTGAGCAGCAGGTGGGCAGCAGGTGCGCATGGTACGCATGGTGCAATGCAGGGCATTCCCTGGCATGAAGCCGCCATCAACGGCACCATGGCTGCTGCACCACAGCAGCACAAACGGTGCTGTCAGTATGGAGGCACGATGCAGGTGAGTAGAAGGATGGCGTGTGTGAGAGCAGCAGGTGGGTGGGGGCATGGTACACATGGTGCAATGCATGGCATTTTCTGGCCTGCGTGAAGCTGCCACGGCACGGCACCATGGCTGCTGCACCCACAGCAGCACAAACGGTTCTGTTGGTGTCAAGGCATGGCAGGCAGGTGGGTGGCAAATAGTGTGTTTGATCCAATGCAAACCTTCCGACAGCGTTGCTGCTGCACCCACAGCAGCACAAACGGTTTTGTCGGTATCGAGACACGACATGCAGGTGGGCGTGTGTGAGAGTGCAGAGAAGCAAGTGTGAGTAAGAAAGCAGGTAACCAACCAGGTCACTCTTACCTCCTTCCCCCTCTTCTCCCGTACCTGGCATACGGCATCAGCACCACCATCCTGCTCTGCCTCATTGTGTTTGGTGGAGGGCATCTGGTGGACCATGCTGTGCAATGATGAGTCATCATCGATGACAAGCACGCGGCACGCCCCATAAATTCTACCTCCTTACCTTCCCCTCTCCCCTCCCCCCTCTTACCGTAAGCTCACGGCACGCCCCATAACTGCAGGGATACTCACCAACTGCAGTGATCCCTTCTCAATCTCCATCTCCGTCCCGTCTGTCTGTCCCACGGCATCATCACCACCATCTGCCTCTGCCTCATAGTCTTTGGTGGAGTGCACCTGGTGTAATAGCTGTTCCCCTCTCCATGCAACCCCTGTTCCCACACCCCGCCCACCCTGCCCTCACACCAGGCATACGGCATCATCACCACCATCTGCCTGTGCCTCATTGTCTTTGGTGGGGTGCATCTGGTGGACCGAGTGGGATCGCTCTTCATCATCCCCACATGCTGCATGCACCTCATGCACCTCATAAATGCCCGCACCCCCCTGTCTGCCCCTGTCTGCCCCTGTCCCACCACACCAGGCATACGGCATCATCACCACCATCTGCCTCTGCCTCATAGTCTTCGGCGGAGTGCATCTGGTGGACCGCGTGGGATCGCTCTTCATCATCCCAGCCGTCCTCGCTGTCGTCTCTGTCTTCATCGGAATCTTCCTGTCTCCAGACGCCGAATCACCAGGTGTGTGTGTGTGTGTGACATCTAGTCATTCAGTGTTCCAACTGCTATTTCTTCTCAGTGCTCTTCATCATCCCGGCCGTGCTTGCTGTCATCTCCGTCTTCATCGGAATCGTCCTCTCTCCTGACGCCGAGTCACCAGGTGCGTGCATCGTGAACCGGCATGAAGCACATCCGCCACCCTCTCTCTCACTCTCACCTTCCACTCCTAGCCTAGCCCTCATCTCCTCCCAGCCCCTTTCATTCTTAACTGTGTGTGTGGTAGCGCTGACTGGTCTTAGTGTCATCACCCTTTATGTCAACTGGTTACCGGGTTACCAGACCACCCCCAACTTCCACCCCTTTTCTTACTCCCTCTTTCTCCACTCCCTGCCAGCTGGGCTGACTGGTCTCATGGCTATTGGTTACCACCCTCTGCACAAACTGGTTACCAAGTTTCTACCAAACCACCCCCACTTCGAACCCCTTTCGTACTCTCTCTTTCTCCACTCCCTGCCAGCTGGCCTGACTGGTCTCAGCACCACCACCCTCTTCGCCAACTGGTTACCAAGTTACCAGACCACCAACTCCAATGGCATCCCCGACCCAAATGGCTCTTTCTACTGGGGCTTTAAGTACGTCTTTCTTTCTACTGGGCGCATGGGTCAGGGTTCACTCAACAATAAGCTCGTTCACGTATTCGCCTCACATCACGAATACTCGCCTCACATCACGAATACTCGCCTCACAGCACATATACTCGCCTCACAGCACGAATACTCGCCTCACAGCACGAATACTCGCCTCACAGCACGAATGCTCGCCTCACATCACGAATACTCGCCTCACATCACGAATACTCGCCTCACATCACGAATACTCGCCTCACAGCACATATACTCGCCTCACAGCACGAATACTCGCCTCACAGCACGAATACTCGCCTCACAGCACGAATGCTCGCCTCACATCACGAATACTCGCCTCACATCACGAATACTCGCCTCACATCACGAATACTCGCCTCACAGCACATATACTCGCCTCACAGCACGAATACTCGCCTCACAGCACGAATACTCGCCTCACAGCACGAATACTCGCCTCACAGCACGAATACTCGCCTCACAGCACGAATACTCGCCTCACAGCACGAATACTCGCCTCACATCACGAATGCTCGCCTCACATCACGAATACTCGCCTCACATCACGAATACTCGCCTCACATCACGAATACTCGCCTCACATCACGAATACTCGCCTCCCATCACGAATACTCGCCTCCCATCACGAATACTCGCCTCACATCACGAATACTCGCCTCACATCACGAATACTCGCCTCACATCACGAATACTCGCCTCACAGCACGAATACTCGCCTCACAGCACGAATACTCGCCTCACAGCACGAATGCTCGCCTCACATCACGAATACTCGCCTCACATCACGAATACTCGCCTCACATCACGAATACTCGCCTCACAGCACGAATACTCGCCTCACAGCACGAATACTCGCCTCACAGCACGAATACTCGCCTCACAGCACGAATACTCGCCTCACAGCACGAATACTCGCCTCACAGCACGAATGCTCGCCTCACATCACGAATGCTCGCCTCACATCACGAATACTCGCCTCACATCACGAATACTCGCCTCACATCACGAATACTCGCCTCACATCACGAATACTCGCCTCACATCACGAATACTCGCCTCCCATCACGAATACTCGCCTCACATCACGAATACTCGCCTCACATCACGAATACTCGCCTCACATCACGAATACTCGCCTCACATCACGAATACTCGCCTCACATCACGAATACTCGCCTCACAGCACATATACTCGCCTCACAGCACGAATACTCGCCTCACAGCACGAATACTCGCCTCACAGCACGAATACTCGCCTCACAGCACGAATACTCGCCTCACATCACGAATGCTCGCCTCACATCACGAATACTCGCCTCACATCACGAATACTCGCCTCACATCACGAATACTCGCCTCACATCACGAATACTCGCCTCACATCACGAATACTCGCCTCCCATCACGAATACTCGCCTCACATCACGAATACTCGCCTCACATCACGAATACTCGCCTCACATCACGAATACTCGCCTCACATCACGAATACTCGCCTCACATCACGAATACTCGCCTCGCATCACGAATATTCGCCTCACATCACGAATATTCGCCTCACATCACGAATACTCGCCTCACAGCACGAATACTCGCCTCACATCACGAATACTCGCCTCCCATCACGAATGCTCGCCTCACATCACGAATACTCGCCTCACATCACGAATACTCGCCTCACATCACGAATACTCGCCTCACATCACGAATACTCGCCTCACATCACGAATACTCGCCTCGCATCACGAATATTCGCCTCACATCACGAATATTCGCCTCACATCACGAATATTCGCCTCACATCACGAATACTCGCCTCACATCACGAATACTCGCCTCACATCACGAGTGCCCGTCTCACATCATCCTAACGTGACAGGCATTCTGGGGTAGTCCAACCTCTCAGAGGCTCTGCGGGACACCTGTGACTGCTGTCTGTCCTGTCCCATTCCCCCCCACGCTTTCATCATCTATTTCCCCTACTTCCCCTACCCCTCTTCTCCTCATCCATGCTCTTTCTTCCTTAATCATCCCCGCCCACCCGTCCGTACCCACCCATACCCCTTGCCTCACCCCCTCCCCTTCCCACAGCCAGCTGCTGGGGCTCTTCTACCCTGGTGTCACGGGCATCATGGCGGGATCCAACCGCTCAGAGGCTCTGAGGGACACACAGCGGTCCATCCCCACGGGCACTCTGGCGGCTATTGTCTCAATGACTGGTCTCTACGTGGTCTCCATACTGCTGTTTGGGGCTGTTGCCACCAGGGACCTCCTTGTTACCGACAGGTAAGGAGGTTGGTGGGTTGAGAGCGGTGGAGATGGGTGGGTGTGTAAGTAACTCACACAGTGGTCCATCCCCACGGGCACTCTGGCGGCTATTGTCTCAATGACGGCGCTCTATGTGGGCTCCATCCTGCTGTTTGGTGCTGTTGCTACCAGGGACCTGCTGGTGGCTGACAGGTAAGGAGGATGGGTGGGTCGAGAGCGGTGGAGATGGGCCTGTGTGAGTCGACAGTCGCCTTGTACTCGGTCCATCCCCACGCGCACTTACTCTAGCAGCCATCATGTCAATGACTGCGCTCAACTGAGGATGGTCATTTTGAGTTTTTTGTGAGTCTAGATAAGTGCCTGGTTTCGCACTGGCCGCTTCACTGCTTAAAGCTCAAGGCCCAAATTGCGCAAGATTAGTAATCTTGCGCAAGTTTGGGTGCTGGGGGGTGGGGGTTGTTAACTTGTCTGATTTCGCCGCAACACTTGTCTTTTCGCTGAGTCAGCAAGCTTCAGGGGGGAGTGTGCGTTTGGGGACCCCGGGTCCCAAATTGCAGAGTAGTGAAACTTGATGTTTTGGCTGTGAGTGAAGCGTCGACCAATCAGATTGCGTCGCAACTACCGTAACCAGATTTTCGTCAATATATAGCACAAAAAACGAGAAGTGTGCAAGATTACTAAACTTGCCCTGCGCGGCCCGCAATTTGGGCCTTGAGCTTTAAACAACTACACCTCTTCACGCCTCTTCACCCCTCCCTCCCTCTCGCCCTTCCCTTATCAGGCTCCTCACTGCCACCATCGCATGGCCCGTGCCAGCTGTCGTCCAGGTGGGTGCCAGCTGTCGTCCAGGTGTGTGCCAGCTGTCGTTCAGGTGTGTGCCAGCTGTCGTTCAGGTGTGTGCCAGCTGTCGTCCAGGTAGGCTTGAGCATGAGGCCCGGTCGGATCGGGTCGAGTGGTGATGTGTGGTAGGCTTTGCCGAAATGGTTGGGATTGTTTGTTTTAACACATTTGTTGGGGACGAGGGAGCGCCTAGGCTCAGTAAATTACAGGCGAAATACCGATCTCCGCAGACCGGCCAGCGAAATCGCCGATCTGTTGTCCAGGTGTGTGCCAGCTGTCGTCCAGGTGTGTGCTTGCTGTTGAACAACTGTGACCTTGTAAATACTTCATTTCTGGATTTTTCTAATTTACTTCCGGAAATTGAAATAATGTTGCGGTTCAGGCTTTCTTCCACTACCCCTTTTACCCCTTCATACATATAGTACCCAACCTGTGGCGAGTGTGACTTTTGAGTCGACTCAAAAGTCCCTTCATACGTATAGTACCCAACCTGTGGCGAGTGTTGGATAACTGATTATAACTGAGTACCAAACATAGTGTCGCCATTGACCCAACATAAGTACATAAAAGTATCAAACATTTGACTTGAGACTGATTAAAAAGGGGTAGCACTGCAGAGCCTCATGAGACACTGTGGCTGCTAGCTGCAACTCAACCCGCTCCCTGCCCACCGTTCCCCCCTCTCCCGTGCAACCTCCCTCCACCCAGGTGGGCATTGTTCTGTCAACGCTGGGAGCAGCACTGCAGAACCTCATGGGAGCACCACGGCTGCTGGCGGCAATTGCGAATGACAACGTGCTGCCGGTGCTGAATGCATTCAAGGCGGAGAGCCATCAGGAGCCGCACCTAGCCACGCTCTTCACACTGCTGCTCTGCTGCAGGTACTCCTCGTAGTACTGCCCTGTTACTACTGATGTCTCTGCTGGTATCGTTGTTGGCAGCGATAGCGAATGACAACGTGCTGCCGGTGCTGAATGCATTCAAGGCGGAGAGCCACCAGGAGCCGCATCTCGCCACGCTCTTCACTGTGCTGCTCTGCTGCAGGTGCTGATTTTGCTTGTGTTGCTGCTGGTGTTGTTGGTATTGCTAGCATTGCTGCTAGTAGGCGACTTGGACTAGGTATCACCTCACCTGTCATCACCATGTTGTTTCTTCCCTGCGATTCCTTCTTCTCGCACCACCCTGTTGTGCTGTAGCTTTGTGCTGATAGGGGACGTGGACTATGTATCCCCAGTCATCACAATGTTCTTCCTGCTCTGCTACTGCTTGCCCTCCCCCCCTCCCCTTCCTCTCACCCACAGCTTCGTGCTGATAGGAGACGTGGACTACGTATCACCTGTCATCACCATGTTCTTCCTGCTCTGCTACTGTGGAGTCAACCTCTCCTGTGCTCTCCTCGACCTTGTTGACGCCCCCTCCTGGCGCCCCCGCTGGCGCTGGCACCACTGGCTCGTGTCTCTTGCAGGGGCGCTACTCTGTCTTGGTAATTGCCTTCACTCTCATCCACACCCCCACTGCCTCATCAGCCCAGCCCCGCCCCCGCTGGCGCTGGCATCATGGGCTAGTCTCCCTTGCAGGGGCTCTCCCCTGTGCCATTTTACAGTGCATGCTCATAAACATCTACGTCAGTATGGCGCCTATATACCAAGAGACTTTTGAGTCGACTCAAAAGTCACCTTTTTACGGTGCATGATCATAAGCATCTACGTCAGTACGGCGCCTGTGTACCAAGAGGGTGCAGTTATGGTCATTGTGGCCTTTGAGTCAACTCAACTCATAACTGCACTCCTTTGAGTCAACTCATAACTGCACTCCTTTGAGTCAACTCAACGCATAACTGCACTCTCTTCGTGCAACCCCCCTTTCCCCATCCCCCCCTTCCCTCCATCCCCATCCATGCAGTCATCATGTATCTCATCTCCTGCTTCTTCACGCTCATCTGTCTCACCCTAGCTACTAGGCATCGCAAAACTCCCTCCCCTCCCTCCCTTTGTGCTCGCCCCCCCCTTCCCTCCCCCCCTCAAACAGTCATCATGTATCTCATCTCCTGGTTCCTCACCCTCGTCTGTCTTACCCTAGCTATCAGACCCCCCAAAACTCCCTCCTGTTCCTTCCCTCCCTCCGTTTGTGCTCTGCCCCCTAACACCCCATCCTCCTATTGTGCTCCATCCACTCCCCTTCCTCCCCTCTCCCCCCCTCCCCCCCCCCACCCACCAGTCATCATGTATCTCATCTCCTGGTTCTTCACGCTAGTCTGTCTCACTCTAGCCGTCCTCATCTACATCTACGTCAGTCATTCTGGTGGGCGGGCGAGGCGGGCGACTGCAGCGATGAGACAACAGCACTCCCTCCCGTTCCTTCCCTCCCTCTCTCCCCTTGTTTTCACCACTCCCTCCCTTTCCCCCCATTCCCCACCCCCTCCTCCTCCCCCAAACCCCACTTCCCCTCCCCCTCCACCCCCCCCCACCCACCAGTCATCATGTATCTCATCTCCTGGTTCTTCACGCTAGTGTGTCTCACTCTAGCCGTGCTCATCTACATCTACGTCAGCATGGTGGGCAAGGCGGGCGACTGGGGCGACGGGGTCAAGTCAGCCTACATGCAACTGGCTCTTCGATCCCTGCACTTCCTCGGAGGTAAGTGTTTGAGTACCTCCCCTCCCCCGCTTGCCTCAGTCAACCCCTCTGCTCCCTCCCTGCTACACGCCCTCTGGCCTTACACTGGGGCGACGGGGTTAAGTCAGCCTACATGCAACTGGCTCTTCGATCCCTGCACTTCCTCGGAGGTAAGTGTTTGAGTACCTCCCCTCCCCTGCTTGCCTCAGTCAACCCCTCTGCTCCCTCCCTGCTACACGCCCTCTGGCCTTACACTGGGGCGACGGGGTCAAGTCAGCCTACATGCAACTGGCTCTTCGATCCCTGCACTTCCTCGGAGGTGCGTGTTCCTTTCATGGGATGGGAGGGAGGTGGGTGGTTCAGCGTTAGAGGGTTCCCTCCCTCCGTGCTCGCTGCAACACACCCTCTGGCCTTGCTCTGTGTGCGACTGGCTGGGGCGATGGGGTCAAATCAGCCTACATGCAGCCCGCCCATGCTGCTACATGCAGCCCGCCCATGCTGCTACATGCAGCCCGCCAATGCTGCTACATGCAGCCCGCCCATGCTGCTACATGCAGCCCGCCCATGCTGCTACATGCAGCCCGCCCATGCTGCTACATGCAGCCCGCCCATGCTGCTACATGCAGCCCGCCCATGCTGCTACATGCAGCCCGCCCATGCTGCTACATGCAGCCCGCCCATGCTGCTACATGCAGCCCGCCCATGCTGCTACATGCAGCCCGCCCATGCTGCTACATGCAGCCCGCCCTGCGATTCCAGCACTTCCTGCAAGCCCTGGGGTCTGCTGCTTCTCTGCTGCTTCTCTGCTGCTTCTCTGCTGCTTCTGTTGCTGCTTCTGCTGAACTGCCCTGCTCCGCTATGCTTTACTCTTACTCCAACTCCTCCCGTTCCATTTCCCTTGATCTACCCCTCCTCCTCATTTCCCCTCACAACAGTCTCTCATATAAGAAAAAAAAAGGGGTACCCCATTCCGCTCTTCCTCTGCAAGTCATGGGGCTGTTGCTCCCTGATGCTGCTCTGCTCTTACCCCGTTCACTTTCTTCCCCTCTCCTTTCCTTACTTGCCCCATGAACTCCCCTCACAACAGTTTCTCAAGTGCATCCCAAGAACTGGTACCCCATTCCGCTCATCCTCTGCTCTCACCCTGTTCACTCTTCTCCCTTCTCCTCCTTTCCTTGCTTGCCCCCTCAACTCCCCTCACAACAGTCTCTCAGGTCCATCCCAAGAACTGGTACCCTATCCCGCTCATCCGCTGCAAGCCCTGGGGTTGCTGCTGCTGCTCCTTTGCTCTTATCCCGTTCACTCTCTTCCCTTCTTCTTAATTGCCCCTCACAACAGTTTTTCAAGTGCATCTCAAGAACTGCTACCCCATTCCGCTCATCCGCTGCAAGCCCTGGGGTCTGCTTTTTTTACGCTGCTGCTCTGCTCTGCTCTTACCCTGTTCACTCTTCTCCCTTCTCCTCCTTTCCTTGCTTGCCCCCTCTCCTCCCCCCTCACAACAGTCTCTCAGGTCCATCCCAAGAACTGGTACCCTATCCCGCTCATCCTCTGCAAGCCCTGGGGTCTGCTTCCCCCTGATGCTGCTGCTCTGCTCTGCTCTTACCCTGTTCACTCTTCTCCCTTCTCCTCCTTTCTTCACTTCCCCCCTCTCCTCCCCCCTCACAACAGTCTCCCAGGTTCATCCCAAGAACTGGTACCCCATTCCGCTCATCCTCTGCAAGCCTTGGGGCCTGCTTCCTCCTGATGCGCCCTGCCATGAGCGCTTGGGGGACTTTGCCAAGTGCATGAGGAAGAAAGGGAGAGGACTGAGCATCTTCGTCTCAGTTCTAGAGGGGGGATACAGGTATGTATGGTGCAAAGGGGGACATTCAGACTCGCCCTGCTATGCCATCCGCGCCTGGGGGACTTTGCCAAGTGCATGAGGAAGAAAGGGAGAGGACTGAGCATCTTCGTCTCAGTTCTAGAGGGGAGATACAGGTATGTATGGTGCAAAGGGGGACATTCAGACTCGCCCTGCTATGCCATCCGCGCCTGGGGGACTTTGCCAAGTGCATGAGGAAGAAAGGGAGAGGACTGAGCATCTTCGTCTCAGTTCTAGAGGGGAGATACAGGTATGTATGGTGCAAAGGGGGACATTCAGACTCGCCCTGCTATGCCATCCGCGCCTGGGGGACTTTGCCAAGTGCATGAGGAAGAAAGGGAGAGGACTGAGCATCTTCGTCTCAGTTCTAGAGGGGAGATACAGGTATGTATGGTGCAAAGGGGGACATTCAGACTCGCCCTGCTATGCCATCCGCGCCTGGGGGACTTTGCCAAGTGCATGAGGAAGAAAGGGAGAGGACTGAGCATCTTCGTCTCAGTTCTAGAGGGGAGATACAGGTATGTATGGTGCAAAGGGGGACATTCAGACTCGCCCTGCTATGCCATCCGCGCCTGGGGGACTTTGCCAAGTGCATGAGGAAGAAAGGGAGAGGACTGAGCATCTTCGTCTCAGTTCTAGAGGGGAGATACAGGTATGTATGGTGCAAAGGGGGACATTCAGACTCGCCCTGCTATGCCATCCGCGCCTGGGGGACTTTGCCAAGTGCATGAGGAAGAAAGGGAGAGGACTGAGCATCTTCGTCTCAGTTCTAGAGGGGAGATACAGGTATGTATGGTGCAAAGGGGGACATTCAGACTCGCCCTGCTATGCCATCCGCGCCTGGGGGACTTTGCCAAGTGCATGAGGAAGAAAGGGAGAGGACTGAGCATCTTCGTCTCAGTTCTAGAGGGGGGATACATGTATGTATGGTGCAAAGGGGGACATTCAGACTCGCCCTGCTATGCCATCCGCGCCTGGGGGACTTTGCCAAGTGCATGAGGAAGAAAGGGAGAGGACTGAGCATCTTCGTCTCAGTTCTAGAGGGGAGATACAGGTATGTATGGTGCAAAGGGGGACATTCAGACTCGCCCTGCTATGCCATCCGCGCCTGGGGGACTTTGCCAAGTGCATGAGGAAGAAAGGGAGAGGACTGAGCATCTTCGTCTCAGTTCTAGAGGGGAGATACAGGTATGTATGGTGCAAAGGGGGACATTCAGACTCGCCCTGCTATGCCATCCGCGCCTGGGGGACTTTGCCAAGTGCATGAGGAAGAAAGGGAGAGGACTGAGCATCTTCGTCTCAGTTCTAGAGGGGGGATACATGTATGTATGGTGCAAAGGGGGACATTCAGACTCGCCCTGCTATGCCATCCGCGCCTGGGGGACTTTGCCAAGTGCATGAGGAAGAAAGGGAGAGGACTGAGCATCTTCGTCTCAGTTCTAGAGGGGGGATACAGGTATGTATGGTGCAAAGGGGGACATTCAGACTCGCCCTGCTATGCCATCCGCGCCTGGGGGACTTTGCCAAGTGCATGAGGAAGAAAGGGAGAGGACTGAGCATCTTCGTCTCAGTTCTAGAGGGGAGATACAGGTATGTATGGTGCAAAGGGGGACATTCAGACTCGCCCTGCTATGCCATCCGCGCCTGGGGGACTTTGCCAAGTGCATGAGGAAGAAAGGGAGAGGACTGAGCATCTTCGTCTCAGTTCTAGAGGGGAGATACAGGTATGTATGGTGCAAAGGGGGACATTCAGACTCGCCCTGCTATGCCATCCGCGCCTGGGGGACTTTGCCAAGTGCATGAGGAAGAAAGGGAGAGGACTGAGCATCTTCGTCTCAGTTCTAGAGGGGAGATACAGGTATGTATGGTGCAAAGGGGGACATTCAGACTCGCCCTGCTATGCCATCCGCGCCTGGGGGACTTTGCCAAGTGCATGAGGAAGAAAGGGAGAGGACTGAGCATCTTCGTCTCAGTTCTAGAGGGGGGATACATGTATGTATGGTGCAAAGGGGGACATTCAGACTCGCCCTGCTATGCCATCCGCGCCTGGGGGACTTTGCCAAGTGCATGAGGAAGAAGGGCAGAGGAATGAGCATCTTCGTCTCAGTTCTAGAGGGGGGTTACAGGTATGTATGAATGGGTAAGGCGTCACCCCTATGACGCCTCATCACGGCCTATCACGCCTCATCACGGCCTATCACGCAACATCACGCCCCGTCACACCTTGCCTGCCATGCACGCCTGGGGGGCTTCTGGGGGGCTTCGCCAAGTGCATGAGGAAGAAGGGGAGGGGGTGGCGGGGGTGATGGTAGCTGCTGCTCTGACTGCCAACTCTCCTCCCTCCGTTCCGTCCTTCTCCACCCGCCCCCCATCCCTTCCTCTCCCCTCCGCTAGCACCCTAGCAGCAGAAGCCAGTAGGTCGGCCAAAGTTCTCCCAGCATACATCTACAGCAACCAGTGCGAGGGGGTGCCTTACTGCGGTCTGCTTCCTCCCTCTCTTCTCTCTCCCGTCCCTTACTCTCCTCCAGCGCCCTAGCAGCGGAAGCCAGCAGGTCAGCGCGAGTGCTGCTAGCATACATAGACAGCAACCAGTGCGAGGGGGTGGCGGAGGTGACTTGCTTCTCTCCCTTCCTCCCTCTTTTCCGTTCCTTCCCCCCCTCTCACCCTTGTCTCGGAAGCCAGCAGGTCGGCACAAGTGCTGCTAGCATACATAGACAGCAACCAGTGCGAGGGGGTGGCGGAGGTCATGGTTGCTGCTGGACTGACTAACAAGCATCTTCCATCTCTCCCTTCTCTCCCCTCCGTCCTCTCCCCTCCCTCTTTTCCCTTCTTTCCTCCCCCACCCAGCGCCCTAGCCTCAAAAGCCAGCAGGTCAGCGTGAGCTCTCGTAGCATACATTGACAGCAACCGGTGCGAGGGGGTGGCGGAGGTGATGGTAGCCTCATCAGTGAGGCAAGTAGTGGGGATCACCTCGCCTCCTTCCTTCCTTCACTCGCTCCGTCGCACTGTTTCCTTCCTCCCCCCCCCCCGCCCAGTGCCCGAGCACTGCTAGCCTATATCGACAGCAATCAGTGCGAGGGGGTGGCGGAGGTGATGGTGGCATCGACGGTGAGGCAAGGAGTGGGAATCGCGCTGCTGTTTGACTGTGTGCTGACGCTCCTCCCTCCCTCTCTCCCTCCCTCCCCTTCCTTGTCTCCCAGCTCCCTAGCACCAGAAGCTATCAGGTCAGCACGGGTGCTCCTAGCCTATATCGACAGCAACCAGTGCGAGGGGGTGGCGGAGGTCATGGTTGCATCCTCTGTGAGGCAAGGAGTGGGGATCGCCCTGCAGAGCATGGGGCTGGCGGGCTTAAAGCCCAACATCGTCTGCTTCCGATACCCGGAGGCGTGGCAGCAGCAAGAGTCAAGGTATGCATGAGGCTTAAAGCCCAACAGATGTAACAGGTATACATTGTTTCCTTGTCCCATCACAATCAAGGCTTTAACAGATGTAAAACCATACCCTTTAAGTTCTGAGGCGTCTCAGATACAGAGCGTACCTTTCTCGTCACCTCTCTCTCTTCCTCCCACTCATACTCCCCGTTTTCCCTTGTTTCTGCTCGTTTATCTTATTTCTACTCCCTTTTCCCTCCTTTTCCCGTCCCTCGTTACAGTCACATCCCCGAGACGTTTGTGAGCCTGATCAACGACAGCAACACGGCGGGCAAGGCGTGTGTGATTGTAAAGGGGCTGGACGAGTGGCCGGCAGAGGGGTGCCGGCAGTACGGCACAATCGACCTGTTTTGGATCGTGAGGGATGGAGGCATCATGCTGCTGCTGTCGCAGCTGCTGCGCTCCCGACCCACCTTCGATGTCTGCAAGATCCAGGTGCGCTGTGTTGGGAACCCGCCTGGCTGGGCCTGCCTGGCTGGGTAATCCGTCCCGCTCTCTGTGTATGTGTAGGGGCATTGAAGGGGTTGGACGAGTGGCCGGCAGAGGGGTGCCGGCAGTACGGCACGATCGACCTGTTCTGGATCGTGAGGGATGGAGGCATCATGCTGTTGCTGTCGCAGCTGCTGCGCTCCTGGCCCACCTTTGACGCCTGCAAGATTCAGGTGGGGTGGGATGGGTTTCATGTGATGTGTATTCATGAGTGCATAATCCTCCCTCTCCATCTGCCTGCCTATCACAGTTGTTGCTGTCGCAGTGCCATCCCGACCCACCTTTGATTCAGGTGAGTGGGATGTGATGGGATTCATGGGTGTGGGATCCCTCCTCTCCGTGTGTGGAGTGACTCTTTCTCTCTCATGAAGCCAGCTATTGCACACACAGTTTCTCTCATCCCCCTTCCTCTCCCTTCCTCTCTTGCAGCTACTACGCGCTGCCGAGGCCAGCATAGCAGCAGAGGTGTTGGAACCAGACGTGACTCAGATGCTCTATCTCCCACACGCACGCCTCTAATCAGCTACCTGCACATGCACCCCCCTGCTCTCGCTCACCACTCCCTCCCGTGCTTCAGGTGTTCTGCATTGCGGAGGACGACGGGACAGCAGAGACACTGCAACTAGACGTGGCTCAGTTTCTGCACGACCTGCGCATGCAGGTGGGCACAGAGCGGTTTAAAACGGTTCAGAGTGGTGGAGAGGGGCTCGGAGTGGCTTAGAGTGGTTCAGAATGACTGAGTGGCGCAGGTGACAGGTGTGGCTTAGAATATTTCCCTTTCTTGTCCCCTGTATGTGGGGGACGGGGATGGGGATGGGCCAGGGGCAGAGCAATTTTCAAACGCCCCAGAATGCCCTCTGATTTCTCTCATCGTATTGTGACCTTTCAGGCTGATGTGGTGGTGGTGACAATGAGGGCATGGGAGGACGTGGTGGGGGACGAGGATGGGCCCGAGGCTGAGCTGTTTGTGGCGACTCACTAAGTTCCCGACACTGATATCCCTTCCCGTCTCCCCATCCCTCCCTCTGTGGGTACTACAGGCTGATGTGGTGGTGGTGACGATGAGAGCATGGGAGGACGTGGTGGGGGATGAGGATGGGATTTAGGCTGAGTCTATTTTGGTGCCCCAGAGTCCTCTCACTAATATCTCTCACCGTATTTTATCATTACAGGCAGACGTGGTGGTGGTGACGATGCGGGCATGGGAAGACGTGGTGGGGGATGAGGATGGACCCGAGGCTGAGCTGGCGAGGCAGGGCGCGATGGAGGCGTTTACCAGGGTGGGTGGATTCACATAGATGCCGACATGCACATGCTTACAAGCACACACATAATGATATGGGCGTATGTTGAGATGAGGATGGACCCGAGGCTGAGCTGGCGAGGCAGGGCGCCATGGAGGCGTTTACCAGGGTGGGTGGATTCACATAGATGCCGACATGCACATGCTTACAAGCACACACATAATGATATGGGCGTATGTTGAGATGAGGATGGACCCGAGGCTGAGCTGGCGAGGCAGGGCGCCATGGAGGCGTTTACTCGGGTGGGTGGATTCACGGACATGCATGCATGCACATGGGTACACACATGCATACAGACTTATGCACGCATTCACACATGCACAAGTGCTACGGGAATGGGTTAGAGGCTGAGCTGGCACGGCAAGGGCCATGGAGGCTTTTACTCGGGTGGGTGGCTTGGCCTGCAAACATGTTCACTTGCATGCATGCTCATGCGTGCACATGGTATGGTCTCATGCACACATGCGTGCACATGGTATGGGCTACGAGCTTGTTTTCTTGAATTCTCAAAAACCTGCTTGTACTCGCTGGCTGGATTGACACACATCCATGCGCATGCACACGCAAGTGCTCTCTCTCTCACACACACACACACACACACACACACACACACACACACACACACACACGTTTGCACGCACATGGTATGGGCGTATATCAAGATGAGGATGGGCTGGAGAGGCTGAGCTGGCGAGGCAGGGTGCCATGGAGGCTTTTACTCGGTGGGTGGTTTCACTTCACACATGTGCATGCATGCACACATATGCCCACACATGCGAACATTCTCATGCACGCGTACGGTCTCTTGCACACACACACACAAACACACACACACATCCATAGAGTGTCATGCACACTTCCCCTTCCCCTTCCTATCCTTTCCCCACTTTTTTGTGACAGGCACGAACGAACATAGCCAAGATGATGGATGCAAATACAGAAGTGTCACATGGTAACGCTTCTACAGAAACGAACGGCCCAAAGCCAAGTGCGAGCATTCAAAGGCAGCACCGAACCAAGCAGCATTTGCCTGAACCTGCGGGGAGCAAGTCTAAGAAAAAGGTTTTTGACGAGGGTCAGGTAAATAAGTTTTTGTACACCACGATTAAGCTGAACTCCATCATTAAAAGATGCTCTAAGATGGCGGCGTTGGTGCTTGTCAGCTTGCCGCCACCACCTGCTCACCATCCCCCTTATTGCTACATGGAGTACATGGATAGGCTTGTGGATGGTGTACCTAGGTTGCTTATGGTGCGGGGATATCGTAGGGACGTGGTGACCATTTTTTCATGACCATGTACTGTAAATGGCGACTATTTTTCCCATGCAGTGAAAAGTACACTGGTAGTGTATAAGGGGGAGGGATGGGTTGTTAATTTCAGATCTACATATCGACGACTAGGTGCCAGGTCCATCGACGTGCCACAAGTTAAGGAGCAATTGATTGAATCCTTACTGCATACAATCCTTTCCAAATCTTGTCATGTGTAATTCTCAAATTCGGAAACTGTATACACATAGAAAAAAAAATCACATCTTGGATAGGAGGTGAGTCTCATTCATTTGCCTTCATTACATTCATTTATTTATCCTCCGCCTTCTCCTTCCCCTTGGGCTGGCACGTGAGCTTGTGCGAGGGCCAGTGGGCCTTCTGGCACTCCCTGTTGCAGTAGGCAGCCTTGCCACACCGCGCACACGCCTTCAGCTGCACCCCCTCCCCCTCCACCCTGTCGCACCGCACCCATGCACAGCCTCGCGGCCCTCCCTTGCCTCTGTGCGACTCAGTTCCGCCCCTCTCACTAGGGGCAGCAGCAGCAGAAACAACAGCAGCAGCAGCAGCGGCAGCACCAGCGGCAGCAACGGCGTCCACCTGAGCCTGGGGGCAGTAGTTGGTCTCCCCCAGCAGCATCTCTCTCAAACACGCCAGAGGATTCACCCCCCCCGGCCACGGCTCCAGGTACGATGCCAATGCCTTACCCATCCGCCAATCCCCACTCCCTCCCCAATTTCCCCGTCCCCCATTTGCACTGCTGCCCCCCGCTTCACCAGCAGCACTAACCATAGAAACTGCAGCTTGCGTCCTTTCAGCCGCAACAGCCAAATTTCCTTTCATCGCGTTCCTCATACCCACACAGCACTCCTCCAACTCCTCCCCGTCCACACCACCCGCCCTCACACCCGCCCGCCTACCAGCCCCACTCAGCAGCGCCGCCGCCGTACCCTGTGCCTCCACAGCAGGCCAAGCGTTCGCAGCCGCCGTCCGCCAGCTATCCACCTCCTCCCATATCCTCCACTCCTCGCCCTCCACCCCCGTTTGCTGCCACCCCAAGTCCTTCGCCTGCCCAGCCCAGTCCTGAGAGACCGGTTCGAAAATTTTCTAAAAGGAATCTCCCTCTGAGATGAGCTGTGCAGCATGGAAGAGGAAGAGCAGGCGCTTGCCCTCCACCACGCCTTCCAGCAGCGGCGCCACCAGCGAGTCCGGGACCACCGCAGGCACGGGCGGCACACCCAGAGTGTCCAGGAAGCTTCTGAAGCGCGCGGAGCGCGGCGGGAAGAGCCAGAGGATGCAGTGCAGCAGCATGGACGTGGGGCGGTAGGCGAAGGAGGCGACGAGGGCCGTGAGCTTCACCGCCAGGTAGTAAGTCCCAATGCACCGCTGGCAGCAGGTGCAGGCAGGCACGGGCAGAACCTTGGTCGCGAGTAACTCTATGACGAGATCTGCTTGAAATCTGGACCGTAGGATGGGCTTTACCCTGCCGGGAGCGAACGGCCCCAGAGCAAGAGCAGACCAGGTGCGGCCGTCCAGGTCCAGGCGGCCAATCCAGGAGGTGATAGCGCGGGCCAGAGGGCCGCTCCTGCCCTCCCTTGCCAGCCTTGCAGGGGCGAACCTTCTCAGAAACTCCTCCAAGCGGTGGCCCAGCGTGGCAAAGAACGGAGCGCTAGAAGAAGGCCCCTGCGGAGTGCTTCCGGCACCAGGGTTGTGGTGCGAGGGGGTCGCGGCAACTGGGTGCAAGGGGGTCGCGGCAACTGGGTGCGAGGGGGTCGCGGCAACTGGGTGCGAGGGGGTCGCGGCAACTGGGTGCGAGGGGGTCGCGGCAACTGGGTGCGAGGGGGTCGCGGCAACTGGGTGCGAGGGGGTCGCGGCAACTGGGTGCGAGGGGGTCGCGGCAACTGGGTGCGAGGGGGTCGCGGCAACTGGGTGCGAGGGGGTCGCGGCAACTGGGTGCGAGGGGGACGTGGCAACTGGGTGCGAGGGGGACGTGGCAACTGGGTGCAAGGGGGACGTGGCAACTGGGTGCAAGGGGGACGTGGCAACTGGGTGCGAGGGGGACGTGGCAACTGGGTGGGCCAGGGTCAGTTCCCTCACATTGTATTCCTTCTTCATCTCCTCCCTGTCCTTCTCGTCATCCTCAAAAGCCCCCACGAGCAAGGTCTTCATTCCCATGAACGTCCCCGGGTTATTCTCATGCGCCGCCACTGCCTCTCTGCCCCCCTCTGGAAACTCCTCCCAACCCGTCGTTGCCGCACCTTCCAAGCCTGTGGCGGCCGGAGACCTGGGCACGGCGCCGAACCTTTGCAGCAGGTTCGGAAGATCGTGGATTGGATGCGGGAGGGCGACGCCTGGCTTTTTCCGATAGAAACATTCGCAGAATTCGTCAGGGTTGACCCTGAACCCGTAGAGTCGCACCCACCGCAGCAGGCAGGTGACTCGGTAGGTGAACAGCCCAACCACCGCGTTACTGTTCACCAGCACTAGCCTGGCGCCGGTGCCGCTTGCAGTGTTGTACCCCTTGGTTCTCGCACCTGTAGACCCAGGAGACGCCGTTGGGACTCCTGAATCTCGTCCTCTCTTCCCTCGATCCTCCTGCACTCCGCTCTCCTCCCCGCCCCTCTCCCCCGTCGCCAGCCGGTTCCTTGCCTCTTCCACTGCAGCGTCTTCTACCCGCTCCTTGTGTCTGCTGGCAGCACAGTCCGTGAAGATGAGAGCAGCAGAGCGGGCGAAGAGGGGCTGGGAGAAGAGGCAAGCGCACTTGATGGCGAACTGGGTGGGGTCGAAACCAGATATCACCATGCCCCCGCTGCTGCCACTGATGCCACCGCTGCTGCCACTGATGCCACCGCTGCTGCCACTGATGCCACCGCTGCTGCCACTGATGCCACCGCTGCCGCCACTGATGCCACCGCTGCTGCCACTGCTAGCGCTGTTGCTGCCACTGCTGGTGATGTTACCGGGTTGGTTTCCCATGCCCCCAGTCACTCTTCCCTCTGCTCTCCCTCCTTCACTGCACTGCGTGCACACGCAGCGATACCCCTCCCCCGGCAGCCCTCCCTGGGTCGCAATCACCCCCACGCGCTGCACATACTCCTCCCACTCCACCCCCCCCAACCCCTTCCTCCACTCGTCCCTACCACCCCGCCCACTCCCCCGAACCTCCCCTCCCCCTCCCGCCTGTCCATGCGCATCCCTCCCCCCCGGCAGCAGCGGAAGCATGTGGGCAGCGAAACCAGACTGCAGTTGCTCCTTGCCCTTCACTCCCAGCACCTGCACCAGCACTGACGCCAAGCAGTCGCCCTCCTCCTGCCTCCCCGCCCCAAACTGGTGCGGCAGCCAGGGAAAGGCCACAGTAGCAGACCGGATGTGTGCGCGCCAGAGAGTGACGAAGCGGGGGAACTTGGCAACAAGCACGAGGAATGCAGCAATGGACACGCTAAGGCGGTAGCGGGTCCAGCACTTGCTGCACTGCCAGCAGCACCACCACAGCGAGTGAGGGTACGGCGCGGCATCGCTAATCCCCTCAGCAGCAGAGGCTCCCCCTGCTGCGCGCTGCAGCAGAGGCTCTGCAGCAGCAGAAGCTCCCCCCCCCTCCGCAAAAGCTTCCTCCCGCGCAGCAGCGATGTCGTTGATGTCCATGAGATCTGCCAGCTGGCGCCGCACCTCCTGGAGGTCCAGTAGCAGGCTGACACGTGGCTCTGCGAGCCACTCGAGCATCATAGCCTCTGCTGCCACCACCGGCGCTGACTCCGCCTTCCACCGATACTGCTGCGCCAAGGAAGGGGCTGGTGCACCCTCGTCCGCTCCCGCACCTGCAGAAGCAGCAGCACCAGCATTCGCAGCACCAGCACCAGCAGAACTGGCAGGAGAAGCACGGCCTAGAGGGTGGAGAGGAGGGGCGGAGAGTGGGACGGTGGCAGAGTAGGCGAGGATGGCAGCCGAGGGCTTGTTGTCGAAGCGGAAGGGTGGAATTGTGGTCGCCAAAGGGTGCTGCAGGTGCTTGCGCAGCGATGCGAGGCCTGAGATGCGGAAGGCGACGGGCGGGGCGGGGTGGAGCATGCGGGGAAGGCAGCAGGCGCAGAGGGGGCGCGGCCCTTGAGGCGCATGCTCCGCATGCTCAGAGGTCGCATTCCCTGTGCCGAGGTGCGACCACGACCATGGGAGGTGCACATCCACGTAGTGAACCATGTGCGCCCGGGACAGCGGCACGTGCTCTGCGTGGGGGGGAATGCCAGAGCTACTGCTGCTGTCAGGCCTGCTGCTGCCACCGGTGATGCTTCCTGTGTTACTGCTGCCCTTGCCGCTGCCACTGCCGCTGCCCTTGCCGCTGCCACTGCCGCTGCCCTTGCCGCTGCCACTGCCGCTGCCGTTGCCGCTGCTGCTGCTGCTGCCGCTGCCACTGTTGCTGCCCGCGGTGGAACTGTTGTTTGTCGCGATTGAGCCGTTGTCCGTGGGAGTGGCAGGCGGGGGGGACGCGGAAGGTGCGGAAGCAGGTGCAGGCGCAGAGGGAGGGGTGGGCGGAACGGCGGAGCCTGAAACAACCAAAGGCGAGATCTCCACTTGGTGGTTTAGGGCATGGGTACTACCTTTAGTAAGTGACAGACCTTCTAATTCTGCTACTGGGGCACACACGCTGGGAGTGTCCGGTGCGCTATCATTCCTGATGCAGCTGATGCGATTGCCTGTATCACCACCAGCGTTTCCCTCCTTCGCAGCCTCTTTCGATCTCACTGCCAGCACTTTGATCACGGTACCCGATTTAAGCCTGGCTTTTACAGCGGATAATGCAGGCGATAAGTACACCACTTGTCCGATAGCTATGAACCGGACAGCGTGCTTCTCGTCGCCCTCGCTGCTCCCCCTCCCCTCCTCCTGAACTCTTGCAGTCTCCGCGTCATCATGTTGCTGACGTGTCTGCTGACCTGGCAGGCAGCAGCGCGGCAGGTGGGACTGGAGCAGCTTGTCGAATGCTGATTGGAGAGGCTCGTGCGGATCGACGGTGACGAGATAGTCCACGTGGGAAGGTGCTGATTGGTGGATCATAGCCGCGGTTCCTCCTTCGCCGCCGCATTCAGCGGCAAGGCCAGTCGCAGCGCTGCTTCTAGTATCGATGCTGTTGCCCACATTCGCATCATTCGCATCATTCGCAACATTCGCATCATTCGCATCATTACGGTTCTGTTTGAGCAGAATAGCGGGAACTCGAAACCGAAGCGTAAATTCCATGTCGCACACGGGGAAACGCGAGGCCTAGGAAAGAGTACGCTTAGCGAGCACTAGCTTGAAATTATCGCTGGCCATGCGCCCTGCCCCTTTCAAAGGCCTAACGTGCAGCGACTGAGAGGAAGAAAAGCGCGACCCCGCAAGCATGAGTTACGTGCTGTCCTTGTTGGGATAACGCGCCTCCTGCAGCCATCATGTCTGCGCATTACGAAACGAGAATGACTAGCCCTACGGGCATTGCAAATTCACATTGCAACGGGAATGTCGTCGGGCCACCGCATCCGAACGCACAGCACCTTCTAAAATGTGCGTGAACCCACTGGAATGGCGACTGACATGACGTCCTGCTGCAACCGCATTCTGTAGTCCTTCACCACATGAAAGTTGCGTGCGATACACAGCTTGAAATCGAGTGTAGGGACTACCCGTCAATGTGAGTTCTGAATGACACGCACAGCGAATAACAAGAACAGCAAATACGCCCTAGGTATGCCTAGGATTTGGTTCTGGCCTCAACCACACTTAGCCACACAGAATGTTACTGCACCATGCTTCACCATCTTGAACTTCGAACTTCAGAGTCTGTCCCGACTCCCACGAGAATCGAGCACAGTGATTAGATGCGATGCATTCTGAATCCACTCCGTCGCTCTGGCTTGTGATTTCCACATAAGCTAAGCCATCGTCCTGGTCGCCAAAACTAGCTATAGAATACTCTAAGCTAGCTCCGCGCGGGAGGCAGTACTAGGCATTAGGCATGAAAAAGTAGTATCTTTGGAGCCATGCCGACTACTTAGTTGCTATTAAGCTACTGCGTTTCGACTGAGCTACTTAGCGATCTCGTTGCTGATTTTCCCCGTGCTTTCCCGCCCTCGCCTCAGTAAGGAGTTGTTTGAACCAGATTCCAAACCCTAATGGGTCTTGTGTGCGTGGGATGTTCTCAAGGCTCTCGTTATGTCTCACCACGGAGCAACCCTTACTGGCGTCTGTCTTTCTGCTCGTCCTCGCTCGTAACACTGTAGCAAGAGGCATCTTGCCGTACAGATTGGGAGCGGTTTATCCGACGGCTGGCATGGAAACTCGAGAAGAATCAACGGATGAGATCCACCAACCCGCAGATTCAGGCAAGGCAAGCATAAACAGTATCGCTGTTCCTTCAAACGATTTTCTAATCAGTTTCTTTATTTTTCAGTATCTCCATTGTCTCTGAAACCATTACCATTTTTCGCTTCTCCTTCCCCACCCTCTCCCCTCCTTTCCTGAACAGGCACGAAATTGGGTACGGTATTTCTTCACAATACTCTTGAACTATGTTCTTTCTCGCTCTCTTCCTCATTTCCCTCAACAGGCACGAGATTCGGTACCCTTTTCGCTTCCAGGGCTGGTCGTTTCAGTCAGGAGGAGCAGCACCCGAGCCAGCGGGACAGAGACAACACCACATGGCACTCTATCAGACGTGACTCTATTGAAGCCTTTGGCTGTAACGGATAAGATTGCAACAGAGGGAGCAGGAGAATCGCTAGCAAGAAGGAGGCAGCTAGCGGGGTTTGAGACATACGATATTCGGCGGGTGCGAGAATGGGTGGTGGCACACAATAGAATCAGACACCTGCATTCTCCTCTCCCCCCTTTCCTCTGGGACCCTGCTCTAGCCCGCTTTGCCCAAGCACACGCGGATTCAGTAGGTGCCAACGCGCAATGCCGCCCGGAAGCCAACGAGGCGGCGGGGGAGGCGGGTCTGGGGGAGGTGTATCTGTGGGCCGCGGTGGAGAAGGGGGAGGCGTTATTCACCGCTGCTGAGGCTGTTACCGCATGGGCGGAGCAGGTGAGAAAGTGGGGGCAACTGATATATGCGGGCGGGTCTGGGGGAGGTGTATCTGTGGGCTGCGGTGGAGAAGGGGGAGGCGTTATTCACTGCTGCAGAGGCGGTGCAAGCGTGGGCGGAGCAGGTGAGAAAGCAGGGTCAACGGATACAGGTGGGCGGGTCTGGGGGAGGTGTATCTGTGGGTGGCGGTGGAGAAAGGGGAGGCGTTATTCACAGCTGCAGAGGCGGTTGAATCGTGGGCGGAGCAGGTGAGGTGATGAGACAGATGGATAGAGGGAAGAGGGGGATTGGAAGGGGGAGGAGAGGGGGCGGGGGAAGAGGGTTGGGGGATGAGGGAGAGGAAATGGGGGAGGAGAAAGGCAAGACGCAGGTCGGAGGGAGAGGGATGGGGGAGAGAAAACGACAAGGATGGATGAGGAGGATGGGGAGGATTGGGGGGTTGGTGGAAGTGTTATGACAGGGGGCGATGGGTGGTTGAGTTGAGTGGGTATAGGAGGGGTGAGAATTTTGGAGGAGTGGGGAGTGGTGGAGGGAGTAGGTGGTCTAGAGTACAGGAGGTCCTACTGTGTTGACTATGCTGACCCCATTGACCCCCTGTTGACCCCTATTGACCCCCCGTTGCCCCCCCATTGACCCCCCGTTGCCCCCCCATTGACCCACATTGACTCCCTTTGACCCCTGCTGACCCCCATTGACCCGTGTTGACCCTCATTGACCCCCTATTGATCCCCGTTGACCCCCCATTGACCCCCTATTGACCCCCGTTGACCCCCCATTGACCCCCCATTGAACCAAATTGACTCCCTTTGACCACTGCTGACCCCTATTGACTCCTGTTGACTCCCGGTGACCTCCGTTGACTCGCCAGGGCAAGCACTACAGCAGCAGCACAGGGGCGTGCGTGGAAGGGGAGGACTGTAGCGCATTCATCCAGCTCACATGGAAAGACACGAGGAGAGTGGGGTGTGGCGAGGTGCGTTGCTTGCTGTCTCCACCTTCTCCCTCTCTCTTTCCTCCTCACACACGTTGTCACCATCACTCGCTGTGGCGCTTGCCTTCCAACACCCCTCCCTTTCCCCCATCCTCTCGCCAGGCGCTCTGTCCCTACAAGGCTAATTTCACCGGCGTGGTTCAATTCATCGTATGCAACTACTATCCACCTGCTGCCCTTATTCACCCTCGGCTGCTTCCATCCCTGAACCCCATCTCCTCGCCAGGCGCTCTGTCCCTACAAGGCCAATTTCACCGGGCTGGTTCAATTCATCGTCTGCAGCTACTATCCACCTGCTGCCCTTCTTTACCCGCTGCTAATGCCATCCCTTTTCCCATCCCACGCCCATCCCTCCCCTTCCCTTGCCAGGCTCTCTGTCCCTTCAAGACCAGTTTCACCGGGGTGGCTCAATTCCTCGTCTGCAACTACTACCCACCTGCTCCTTATTCACCCTCTGCGTCCATCCCTCAACCCCATCCCCTCACCAGGCGCTCTGTCCCTACAAGGCCAATTTCACCGGGGTGGCTCAATCCATCGTCTGCAATTACCACCCACCTGCTGCCTTCTTTACCCGCTGCTGATGCCATCCCCTTTCTGATCCCGCACCCTGTCAGAGTGTGATGTTTGTGTAGCCTGCAGTGGGGTACTCTATAGCGAGTACAGCCCGAATTAAGGTTTGCTATATGTACTCAACCGCATGCTAGTGAAAAACCCTCTTTCCTGTGTCTGATTCTTGCCTAGTCTTCTGACATGCTATCAGAGCAGGTCGACCCTCCTGGGTCGATCCTGTGGGTGGGCCCCACCCGATGCTTCCGCTGCTCTACTGCCTGTAGCGCGCCCCGGGCGCGTGCTGTTTCCTGCCTGCCGCGCGCTCCGGGCGCGCAGCGATTTTTCTTCCCGCCGCGCGCTCGGGGCGCGCGGCGGTTTTCTGCCCCGTCGAACCGCGCGTCGCCCCCTGTCGACCGTCGCGTCGCCCCCCGTCGCCCGACGCGGCCCGCGCGACCTGCGCCAGGCCCGCGCGCGGCCCGTACGGGCTGCGCCAGGCCCGCGCGCGGCCCGGGCAGCCCGCGTGCGGTTCGTCCCGAGCTTCTGATCGCGCCCCACCCCCGCTGCTGCCCGCGCTCCTGTGTTAGGGTTTGGGGGTGGAGAGTATGGGGGTGCCGGGTGTGTGAGCCGTCCCTTGCTCCTCCTCCTCCTCCGTCTCCCACTGCTGCAGCTGCCGCTGAGGGGGGTGGATGTGTTGGAGCCGTCGGAGTGGTACGAGGGGGGTGGCGTGTGAGCAGTGCTAGAGGTGCAGCAGGGAGTGTGTGAAAGGGGTGTGGGACAGTTGGGGGAGGTTGACCGGAGGTAGCCGACTTGTCGTCCGCAGCGCCTGAAGTCCAGAGAGCCACGACCCCCTGTAGCCTGAGTAGTCCGGGGCTCTGCGCCCGGTAGCCACAGTGTGAGCACTCCTGGTAGTCCAGAGAGCCACGACCCCCTGTGGCCTGAGTAGTCCGGGGCTCTGCGCCCGGTAGCCACAGTGTGAGCACTCGTGGGAGCACAGAGAGCCAGCTGCGCCTGTCGCCGTGTAGTCCGGGTTTAGCCTGGTAGCGACAGTTCTGCGCACTCCTGTTGCCCATGTGTCTGCAGCTTTAGCCGTCGCCTCCCATCTTCTCGCCCCCACAGTTTCTCCTCCTCCTCACTTGCTCTCTGTGATAGCCTCTAGCTTTTGCTTATAATTGTGAACTACTGCTCTGCCTGCTTGTTGTATTGATTGTACCCCACTTTGACTATGGGGGTGTGTCAGAGTGTGATGTTTGTGTAGCCTGCAGTGGGGTACTCTATAGCGAGTACAGCCCGAATTAGGGTTTGCTATATGTACTCAACTGCATGCTAGTGAAAAACCCTCTTTCCTGTGTCTGATTCTTGCCTAGTCTTCTGACACACCCATCCCTCCCCCATCCTCTCGCCAGGTGTTCTGTCCCTACAAGGCCAATTTCACCGGGGTGGCTTAGTTCATCGTCTGCAACCACTATCCACCTGCTGCCCTTCTTTGCCCGCTGCTGATGCCATCCCCTTTCCTCCCTTGCTGCTTCTTCTTTCCCATCCCGCGCCCATCCCTCTCCCATCCCCCCACCAGGCGCTCTGTCCCTACAAGGCCAATTTCACCGGGGTGGCTCAATTCCTCGTCTGCAACTACTATCCACCTGCTGCCCTTCTTTAGCCACTGCTGCTCCTTTTTATGCCTCACTGCTGCTATCTTTGACTTGTGCCCTCGAAGACTCAACCCGTCCAGTCCACTGCAGCTACTATCCACTTGAACTTCTCTAGCCTCAGCTGCTGCGATCTTACCGCGCACTCTCGGCCTAAGTTACCTTGTGCACCTGCTTTTCGTCAAGCCTCAATGCTGCCATCTTTGACTCGTGCCCTTGAAGATTCAACCCGTCCACTGCAGCAGCTACTATCCACTTGAACTTCTATAGCCTCTGCTACTGCCCTTCGACTCGTGCCTTTCAAGGCTCAGCTTAAGCTACTATCCACCTGCTGCGCCAACTTACCCGCACTCCTGCCATCTTTGACTCGTGTGCCCTCGAAGACTCAACCCGTCCACTGCAGCTGCTATCCACTTGCTCTTCTCCAGCCGCTTCTGCTGCTATCCCTCCACAGGCTTTAGGTTATCTGATTTACCTGCTGCTGGTTAGCCTGTGCTGTCACTATCACTGCCACAGGCCTTCAGCTGCTTGCACAGGCCCTTGGGGACTTGAGTGGGCTGTTGGCTTAAACCGTGCTATAGCCTATTTCCACTTGCTGTTGTGTAGGCAAGCACTGTGGTGGTGGCAGTGCTGCTTTCCAGCTGCAGGCTCTTGTTACACTGTTACGCTGTTGCTGCATGTGCTACACATAACGTACGGCCTTCTGTCTGTCTGGCTTCTCGGAAATAACATGGCCTTGTCAGTGCCTTTTTGGAACTCCCGTAAAATTATCTCACTGGTAACTTACCGTAATACCCCGGATATAAGACCCCTCCAGTTGTAGACCCCCGGGTCTATAATACGGAGGGGGGTACGCTAAATGGGTTGTTTTTGTTATACCCCCCTAAATGGGGGCTAACATTATAAGACCCTCCTCCCCCTAGAGAATCGGTCGTTTTATTGGCAATGAATGCAATTCTGATAGCTTTTCTGCCCCTTTCCGCACCATATCCCATAAATTTTTCATTAATGAGGGGTATAGCCAGTCACAAAAGCACATATACGCATCATCATGTCAATTTCGTGTAATAATTTTGTATGCTAAACACGAATTTCATTGCGCACATTCCCTTTGAGGCTAAAAACGAAGCACATAGTGTTGACATGTATGACTTCCAAAACACAAGAAGTATACTTGACCTTATGATAAGACCCGGGTCTTATAAAATGTAGCCAACTGTTAAGACCCCCCCTCATTTTTGGGGTGGGATTCTTATAATACCCCCGGGTCTTATATCCGGGGTATTACGGTAATCTTCCATGATTTGGAGATGTGTGGTAATATTGATGTTTACAGTATGGTAACGTAGTGAACCTCATTGGATGACCAGCTGGAGAACCCGCTAAGCATCCCAACAGGGCGGGGTAACCTCACTGAACCTTACTATATCGTAAGAAAGCGCAATGTACCGTGCAAACGAAGAGATTCGGGCACCGTCCGTCTCTGGTGCCCCCAGTGTCACCTCCTTATGGATGTGTCACACAGGTTCGTCTGATGGAAGCTCAAGTACAGTAGGTGTGCGTTTCACAACGGTCAATCCAATACTTAGATTGCTTGAGTAGGGTACTGAGAATGTGTCACCAGCTTGTAGAACACGCCCTGAGTCAGTCGAGACAAAAATAAAGTCCTTTCAGGTTTCTGCTGTGCGTCAATACGTCGACGGCGGCCGTATGATAAAACGTCCCTTTCCTACTAATGACAGTCATCCAGTCATCATGAGATGTCCGAAAATCGCGGCAGGAGGGCAGCCATTGATTGGGACTAAGCGTCACTGCTCGTTATTGACCACTCCGACAGTAGCCTAGGTCGTTGCAAGGTCGTTTTTTTCATCTGCCCCAGACCCACACAAGAAACCCTATATTTTTTTCTGACCGACTGACAACGAGCGCTAGTGGTGACATTTCGAAGTAGCATCCGGAAAGGCGGTCTCGAGTTTCCTCCTTATTATCATTACTTTGTTCTTCCATTCATTGGCTTATTTCGAATAATGCCGCACGCATTTTCAGGGCCGGCGGCGATGGCCTCCGCACCGTCCGATTCCGCCGAAGCGACCACCAGCGACGGCGATTTGGGCCAGGCGGAGATTAAAGACAGCCCGCGTCATCATGACGTCACTAACATACCTCCGCGACCGTCTCCTTCCAACGGCCGTCGCCACCCGCCGGACGTTCTCCATCTGCACTTACCAAGTCCGCGATCCGGACCCGCTTCTAACGCGTACGATCTATCCGGCGAGTCGGAACGATCTCCCAGCGTCCATTCCACGACGGGCGAATCGCCGCAAAACTCGGCCACTTTCCTCCGCCTAACCTCCGCGTCGTCCAAACACTCCTCCGTTTCCTCCTCCCCCATCCCCAGCCCCATCGGCGCTTCGCCTTCCCCCTCCGCCTTCTCCGTCTCTTCCGCTTCCCCCTCCTTCTCCTCTCGCCCTCGAACCGCGCCCAGCAAGCGGGGCCAGTACAGCCGTTCGATCTCCATGAGCTCTGGGATGACGAGAGCCATCGGATCTGTCACGAGCCATCACCAGGTGGACAATAACGATATTTACGCCTTCTGCCCGCTCGCCACTTCTGCGGGTGGCATCCCCACGCCGCGCTCCCATAGATTAAGCGAATCCGGCCTCCCCGGATCGCGCTCGTTCTCGTCTGCGATTGGTATCCCCGCGGCGCGACCTACCGCGGAGCCTCTTAAACTCGGGCCGCTTATTACCGCAGTCGGGAGCGGTAGCGAGGAGGACATCCGCGACGCGGTTTATTGTGTCAGGCGAGCGCTCAAGGGCTGCCCGGAAAACAAAGAAAGGCTGATCCGGTCAGGTGGAATACCGTTTCTGGTCAGTCTTATGAAAGTTCCTGATCCCCTGACAGTGGAACATGCGGTCACGGCAATTTTCAACATCTGCCGGATGGAAGCTGGGCAGAAGGAAATTTTCGAGGAGGGGGGGCTGGAGGCGCTGGTGGACGTTCTCCGGGCAGCAGAAAATAACGAGGCTGCCCGTGAAAACGCGGCCGCGGCGATTTTCTGCCTGGCGAACACGGAGGAGCGAAAGCAGATGGTTACAGAGAGAGGGGCGTTACCACCGCTGGTGGGATTGCTGCAGACTAGTAGTGTGAGAGGGCAGAGAGACGCTATTCTCACCTTGTGGAGTCTGGTTAGGTGGCTCTGTGCGTGCTCTCTTCATGGCTTCCCTAGTGACACAGGGGGGGGTGATGGGGGTTGTCATACTGTCGCAACAGCAGCAAGAGCAGGAGCAGGGGCATCAGTAGCAGCAGCGGAAGTAGAAGCAGGAGGAGGAGGAGCAGGGGAGGCGGAGGAGGAGAGAAGCAGTGATGCCGCAGGGGCAACGGGTGAATCAGGGGGCAGCAGGGGGGGCAGCAGAGGGGACAGTGGGAATGATAGCAAGGAGGTGAATAAGGAGGGCAAAGAGAAGTGTGAAGATGAATCTGAACCAGTGAGGAAACCCCTTACCATCTCTGATTTCCTCGCCACTGGTGCAGTGCCCGTTCTCATCGGGCTCTTACAGTCGTCGGATCAAGGGCTGGAGGAGCGATCAATGGCCATCCTTTCTCTCCTCTCCAAGTTCCCTGAAGGCCGGCGGGCCATCTGGGAAGCAAATGGCGTGCAGGGGGTTTGTGACGTTCTGGAAATGTCGTCTCAGAGGGCTAAAGAGGAGGCAGTGGCAACGCTGCTGCGCATGGCTGGGAGTGACGCGGCGGTTAAGGCGGTGTTGGTTAAGGAAGGGGTGATTCCGCCGCTGTATAAGATTCATAAGGAGAGCGAGGGGAGTGCAGCGGTGAAGGCAAAGACCCTGCTTGACATGCTGCGGAGCACCAGAAAGTGACTTGATTTGATTCACTCATTCTTGGCGCTGTACAAGAGTGACGAAGGGGCAAGCAGGGTTGATGGGGAATTCTCTCTCAAGTCGTTCACTCAAGTCTTTCATTCTTCACTTCACTCAGAAGTTTGGTCTTTTAGGGAGCTGTTTTGGTGTTTCTGGCCTAGAGTAACTTCGATAAAGTTACTAAGCGATCTAACTATGGTGTCACCAGATTAGTGCATTCTTGTGTTGAATCTGTACCGTATGGTTGTACCATGAGAAATCGGTGGTGAAGAATGGCTTCTAGCAATTCTTTGGCTGAAGACCAACAGAGGGACCAAAATTGTCACAGTTAAAACTACACCCACTATACACACAAAAGGAGTCTGCCTATAAAGAGGGAGGGAGAGAAGGGAAGTGTCACCAGCAACCACACAAAACACCACACTCCAGTCTCAGCACATCTTGCAACAGGGGCCGGTGAAATCCTCGGGGTCTGATAAAAAACGGTTTGCCCTATAGGCTGGCAGACAGACACCCTCCTCATTCACTCCCCACATCCCACTTCTCGCTCTCACATCCCTGCATTCCCACCCAACCAAACTACGGTTTTATTTGATTCGCTATCAACCCGTAACACTCGGCACTTCAGTCATTTATCACTCAACCATCAATGCAACAGCACCCCCCCTCTCAGCACTTGGCGCTCCCAGCGTCCTCCCGTTGAGCGAGAGGCAGCTCAATGGAAACCATGAAGTGGGACTTGCCGGCCTGCCCTCTTCCCCTCCTGCCCCCTCCCACTCCGCCCTGCATCACCTTCTCACACTCAGCACTTGGCGCTGCCAGCGTCCTCCCGTTGAGCGAGAGGCAGCTCAATGGCGACCATGAAGTGGGACTTGCCGGCCTCGCGAATGTACTGCACGTCGCCGTTCATCAGTTTCACAATCTTGCGGCAAATGCTCAGCCCCAGCCCCTCCTGCGACTTGCTGTGTGCGTCCGCACGGTCAAACATCTGGTGAATCAGATCCTCTGGAAGACCCTCGCCAGCGTGGCTCACCCTGGAATGGAAACGTGGCAAGCATGGGAGGAGGAAGAGGGATGAACGAGGGATCAAGGAGGGAGAGAGGTGCTCAGCCCCAGACCAGCCCCTCCTGCGACTTGCTGTGTGCGTCGGCACGGTCAAACATCTGGTGAATCAGGTCCTCTGGGAGACCCTCTCCCGCGTGGCTCACCCTGGAAGAGGGACGAGGATGCAAGGGGGAGAGAGGGGACCAGCAGGGGGGTGAGAAGGGGCAAGCAGGACGCAAGGTTATAGAAAGGAGATGAGAACCACCTGGAACTCCTAGTTGAGCCCAAAGCTGCACCAATCGAGGCAGGCAGGTGGTGGAGACTACACTTTTCCGAAACTGCACCAGCCTTGTGCTTGATCAAGACCTTCACCCACCCACCCACTGTCTGCAGTGTAGGACTCAGTAGCTGACTGCATTGACCGGCTTGACTTACTTGAATTCCAGCTTCACAACAGTCACTCCTCCGGGAAGCTTAATGGGCGTGGGCACGACCTTGATATCCACCCACCCACTGGCTTGGGTGAACTGCCAGACTCGCTGTTGACTGCGTTGACTTAACCTTAAACCAGAAACTCACTTGAACTCCAGCTTCACGACAGTGACTCCTCCCGGCAGCTTGGTGGGCGTGGGAACCACCTTGACCTCCACCCACCCACTGGCCGGAGTCAACCGTTAAACTCACGGTTGACCTTCAATCATTCACTTACTTAAACTCAAGCTTGACCACGGTCACTCCTCCAGGCAGCTTGGTGGGCGTGGGAACCACCTTGACCTCCACCCACCCACTGGCCGGGGTGAACTGCACGGCGTTCAGCAGGAAATCCGCCAGCACCTGCTGCAGCCGCACCTGTGAGTTGGGGGACGCGGTGGGGAAACGGAGGGGAAAGGAGGGGAATAGTGTTGAGGCGCCTCAAAGCGGACCACCTTGACCTCCACCCACCCACTGCACGGCGTTCAGCAGGAAGTCTGCCAGCACCTGCTGCAGCCGCACCTGTTGGGGGAAAGCCGGGAGGAGAGGGGGGGAAGAGGGGGAGGAGGGAGGGGGGGGGGCGGTTGGGGAGGGGAGAAAGTGGGGGTGGAAGAGGGGGGGGGGGAGGGGGGGGGGGTGGGGCGGGGGTGAGGGGGGGGGGGACGAGGGGAAAGGGAGGGAGCGAGGAGAAACAAGTGTGGGAGATACAAGATGTTGAAACAAGTGTGCGAGTCTTCTCTACGCACTATTAGTATATGTATGAATACTGTGTACACTCTTGATCGTACCTGAATGCCAAACACGTTCATGGTCGTGAACTTGGGCAGGGTAGCGCAGAATAGCTGCAGGCCCTTGCACTTGTTAAGGCGCCTCAAAGACTATATAATGTACCCATGCCAGGACCACATGCAGTTAGTCTATTAGATCAAAACTTCCACGCGACCGGATCGTACCTGGTCGCCGAACACGTTCATGGTCTTGAACTCGGGCGGCGTGTCGCAGAAGAGCTGCAGGCCCTTGCGAGAGGAGGAGATCATGCCCTGGCTGACCACACTGTTCATCACCGTCGCCATCATGAACTCCGCTGTGTCCAGCTCGAGGTAGCTGTTGGTGGGAGCAACAAGCGCAGGGGTGGAAGGGGTGGGGAGAGCGGAGAGGCACGGAGAAGGGAGGAGGAGATCATGCCCTGGCTGACCACACTGTTCATGACTGTTGCCATCATGAACTCCGCTGTGTCCAGCTCGAGGTAGCTGTTGGTGGGAGCAACAAGCGCAGGGGTGGAAGGGGTGGGGAGAGCGGAGAGGCACGGAGAAGGGAGGAGGAGATCATGCCCTGGCTGACCACACTGTTCATGACTGTTGCCATCATGAACTCCGCTGTGTCCAGCTCGAGGTAGCTGTGGGGGACCAGGGGGGAAAGGGATGGGGCAGGGGAGGAGAGGAGGAGATCATGCCCTGGCTGACCACACTGTTCATGACTGTTGCCATCATGAACTCGGCTGTGTCCAGCTCCAGGTAGCTGGTGATGGGGGGAGACAAGGGGGAGGATAGGAGAACCGGGGAAGGGGGAGGAGAGAGGTTATGATCATCCCCTGGCTGACCACGCTGTTCATCACCGTCGCCATCATGAACTCGGCTGTGTCCAGCTCGAGGTAACTGAGGAGGCAAAGAGGAGGATGGGAGAACCGGGGGAGAAAGGAAGAGGAGATGATCCCCTGGCTGGCTGACCATGCTGTTCATGACCATCGCCATCATGAACTCTGCTGTGTAAATCTCAGTTACCATTCGCCCACACACCCGGTTACCTGCAGTCACCAGCATCCCCCCCACAGCACTCACCCTTCCTCGATGCTAGCCAGGTCCATATCGTCGAGAATCCTTCGCAGCTGCTTCTCGCACATGGCGCTCGTCTCCACCAGCTGCTTCCACACACCCACAGTCCCCAGCACGCCCCAGTCACTCACCCCTCCTCGATGCTGGCAAGGTCCATATCGTCAAGAATCCGCCGGAGCTGCTTCTCGCACATGGCGCTCGTCTCCACGAGCTGCTTCTGGTCCTCCGTGAGCTCCGTGTGCTCAATGAACGACCGCGCAAACATGATGCCGTCCAGCGGGTTCTTTATCCCCTTGGCCCTCGCCTTGCCATTTCCCACGCACAAAGTTCCCGGCATGCCTTCCCACACGCTCACAGTCCCCAGCACCCTCTCTCCAGCTCCGTGTGCTCAATGAACGACCGCGCAAACATGATGCCGTCCAGCGGGTTCTTTATCCCCTTGGCCCTCGCCTTGCCATTTCCCACGCACAAAGTTCCCGGCATGCCTTCCCACACACTCACCCTTCCTCGATGCTAGCGAGGTCCATGTCATCGAGAATCCGCCTGAGCTGCTTCTCGCACATGGCGCTCGTCTCCACGAGCTGCTTCTGGTCCTCTGTGAGCTCCGTGTGCTCAATGAACGACCGCGCAAACATGATGCCGTCCAGCGGGTTCTTGATCTCCTGCCGGATGTACGCCAGCTCCTTCGCCTTCGCCTCCGCCACCTTCTCGGCCGCCTTCTGCACGGTGAGCGCCTGCTGCAGCTCCGGGGAGGCCGTGTGGAGGAAGCAGAAGACGCCCGTGATGGCGCCCTCCGCGTCCGTGCGCTTCTGGGCCGTCAGCAGCACCTCCACCAGCTTGCCCTGTGGTGGGAAGTGGAATGGGATGGGGCGTATGGTGCAGGAGAAAGAAGGGGACAGAGAGACAGAGCCAGGCGAGTGAATGCCACGCACGTGCAAGGCAGGAAGCAGAAGACGCCCGTGATGGCGCCCTCCGCGTCTGTGCGCTTCTGCGCCGTCAGCAGCACCTCGACAAGCTTGCCCTGTGTTGAGTAAGATGGGGTTGCAGTGCGGAAAGAAGGGGGGTCAGAACCAGCTGACAGCTCGGTGGCCCAAAAACGGGTGACACGATAATGCGGGGGAGAGAGGTGAAGCAGCCGCCTTTCTTCCATCCTTAACTAAGAGTGCTCTGCAGGAAGTTCAACCTGCAAGCTGGAGAGAAGCTTAGTCTACACGACTGGATAGAAGCTCTTAAAGCTAGAGAAAAGCGCACCTGGCGGTCAAGGAACGAAAACGGGAAGCGCTCGGTGTCATTCCCGTCCATGGCGTTGTTGAGGATGATCATGAGCTTGGTCATGGCGTCGCTGCTCTTGAGGCGGCACAGCGCGCCAAAGACGTCCCCGGTGAGCATCTTGCCCATCACCTCCTCGCGCTTCAGCCCCGCTAGCTTCTCCATTGCAGGGTTCCACTCCGTGCAGTACCCAAACTCTGGTGGGGGAGAGACAGAGGGGAGGGAGGGGGAGGCGAGGGGCGGAGGAGCAGTGGTTGTGGGGTGAGACAGGGAGCACAGGGCGACCAACTCGTCTCCCATCACCTCCTCGCGCTTCAGCCCCGCCAGCTTCTCCATCACAGGGTTCCACTCCGTGCAGTACCCGAACTCTGGTGTATGCGTATT